CGTGAATAAAAGTAATAATTGGGAATTTTTTAACATTAGGCACAGCCTTGTTAAGACATATTTTACATCATGCAACATCAGGAGCACCAGCTATTCCAAAATTCACTGAGATATATCTTCACGTTCAAATTTCGAATGAAGAAGCATTAAAATTTTATAAAAAATATAATTTTGAAATTGTAGGAACGGTGGAAGGATATTATAAAAAAATATCACCATCAGACGCGTATGTGTTAAGTAGAAAATTGGTGAAAGATTAATCATTTCTGTTAAATATGTTAAAAATGATGCGAATTAAAAAAAAAAAAAACCAATTTATAAATGAATTTACAATAAAAGTGTAAATATGCATAGAAATTTCGAGTTATGTATGAATAAATGGATTTATTATTCGTTTATTGCCACAAAGTGATATTGATTTTTTAATTAATTACTGCTAAGAAGCCTTTTGAGCTAGAATATAGCTAGAATATAGCAGAATATAACACAGGATTTAATACAGATCACGAGATTGCACGCGCATTCTTTTTTTTTTTTTTTTGCGTGTTTTTGTTACACGAGACCCTAGTTTGACGCGTTTTAATTTTAACGTTAAGCATTAAGATGATTCATAAGTGAATCGTATGAAATACACTGCAATTATTAAGAGAAATCAAGAAAGGAATCAAAGACCGGATAGAATGTAACATTTTTTTTAAAGATATTAACAATATATGGTGACTCTAGGGGTATTCTTGATATCTTTGATCTTTGACGCGTTTATAGTCAATATGGCATCTCAACTCAGGTGGGAATGTTTGTGATATCCTAAACAGAATATTTGTATGCGGAAAACAAATAATTACACACATTGTAATCTTAGAATTTCCATTTTTTTTACATAACGCTAAACGAGTATGTAAAGCTGATCTGTGTTAACGAAAAGACCAGCTCTCTTTGGTCGCCTTCCTAAGAAAAAGTTGGTTCTTATAAAATAAAGAAGTTTTTTGCCAACACTGTCAAAAATATTAGGAGCCACTGGCACGTTTGTATGGTGCCCCTTGCATGATATTCAAGTCTCATAAAGTAACGGCGTCAACATCGGGGCATAGTGATGTATCCCACGGATACGGAAACTTTTGAGAAATTTTTTCATCGGAATTAATGTCATTTTCATATGGCGGCAAATATAGTTGTTATTTGGGACTTCATTACGGTAAGTCCCAAACTAAGTTTCGGCAATTTGGGATTCGGCAGACGACGAAACTGTCGGGTTTGGATGACAGGCATCATATGCATGATCTTCAAATGATCAATATATCTGATATAAATCATGACTCTTAAAGTCTATGTCGAAATCGGTTGTCGCCTTTTCGACCCAGCCCTTCCACCTTTAAATGGTAATCTCCTGCTTCTACCATTTTCTACTTAACAGTCGGCCTGATCCGAGGAAGTGACGAACTTGTTTATGCTGCTACTCGCACGCTCACTCTACTGTTACAAGCATAAATTTTACGAATTAGTCAAAGTTGTACAGTTTAAATTATCACAATGCATTCTGCGCCCTTAACGTCCTTTAGTTTGAACCTTTAATTGAATTTATTTCCAGCTAGCCGGCATTCTTCCATTCACATGACAATATGTACTTAAATGCCTTTCATTTTAAAATAATACATGTGGATGTCTCGAGATAACGCGCACTTCATCTAATATATCGATTAATTTGTAATATGGTAATGAATAAAAACTCAAAAAATTTGTCCTTTATCTCGAACTAACGCACCCTGGCATACTTGAAATAATGTGCAGGTGCGTTATTTCGTTTCAAATTTTTGGTCAGGGTTAACTCTCTTATTCGATAATAAAATTAACTTTATTAAAATAAATTTATAAAACTATTATTCTTTTTTTAGTTAAAATTACTATAATATTCTATGATTTGCCGCTATAGAATGTATGAAACATAATAGATAATATTAGCGATTGGTTTATTAAAAAAATGCATAAAAAATAATGAAAACAAAACTCTAAACATACTAAGCGTGATTAATATAACGACAACCCTGATATATCTGTGCAACTTCATTAGTAAAATGACATGCAAAAAGTAACATATTACGGGGTTGTACTTTCCAAGCAAAGCGCATAAAACAAGCAGAATATACACACATTGCTACAAAATAAATGTATAAATAAAAAAGGTATTGAATTAAAATATATTAAGAATAAATTAAAATAGGTTCTTAACCACTTACCTGCTGTCATTCTAGGAGATATAATTTCTGGATCTTTTTTAAAATCAGAAATTGCAGCTACAGGTATACCCCAATTAGCAACTGAATTTATAGTTCATTAATACAATATATCAATATATGTTTATATGTAGTTAGTAAATTAATTAAGGTAAATGAATGGTGAATAGACGAATATACGAACCTGGTCCCCAAAAATGCTAAATTAATATACATATAAAGAAGCATATTAAACAGGTCAAAAAAGCTTTCTATAAATCCGCCGTTAATAATAATAATAATACGTAATAATAATTACCGTGCTAAACGTTAAGAAAAAACTTCAATCTTTTTTTTTTTAAAAAAAAAATATAAAGTTCATTAAAATATACCTCATAAGATATTGCCGGAATTCCGGATTAACTAAATACTGAGATAACCGCGAAGACAGAGACATATTATTATAACTTTTTATTATATTATACAGTCTATACAGTATATATGTATCTATATAATTAAGTTCGAGGTTTTCGAAGGTTGCAAATGAAAATATATCAGATAATTATAATGAAAATAGTACCGGTTACAGACGGGACAGTTATACGATTGGCTATCCAAAATTGCGTAACGATAATTTTTGTGCCCCAGGATTTTTGACAGTCCTATCCCAATTTTGGCTTAAAGAGCTTTTTTATTTAATTAAGAGTTGAAGGCACAAATTTTTGGGGACATGCATTTGTCACGAGATCAAGCTCCAATAACACATGATGTAAGTATGAGCAATAAGTATTGATTGATCGTAAGTATGAGGTCATGAGTAATAGCTATTTAAAATATAAGAAGGGGAATTTGGTTTTCTCTCTCTTTTGTCCTTGCTGTTAGCTCGACGTAAGTCTAGCTTTATCGTGTACCTTCCCGCCACCACCGGAATAGGAAGTTGAGAAGAAAAGCCTAGCATGAATTTCGATAGCTCGGGAGGAGAGTCCGGATGTCGAGAATAAAGTTTGGTAGGCCGACCAAGCAGGCCGGATATCAAAGAAAAAAGGGAGAAATGAGATGCTATCGCTATGGAACCAGCTTTAGACCACGTGAGCAGCAAGTCGAAATCCCAATAGTGCATTTCGCACTGTAGTTGTTAACAGAAGCCATGATCGAGCGACAAATATACTATTGTTATCGTGCAAACTCTTATGATCATAGATTTTTTTCTTGTTATTTTTTGTACGTTATTACATAAGCACAACAAATAATTCATGATCATAATTGCACGATAACATCGATATTGGATCATGCGATGATAAATATCATAAAATTTGTTCTGCCGGAACAAATGGTTGGCTGAAATGTGCCGCTGCGCGGCACATGTCAGCCAACCATTTGCTCCGACAAACCAAATTTTCATGGTATTGATCGTTGCATGACCAATATCTTATAAATATCGAGTCATCATTAGACATTTTTTAGGTACAGTATTTCATCGTTGGTCCACCTACAACTTTTCATCTTTTTTTATGATATGTAATGATACTGCAATTACATTACAGGCATAATAAATTTTAAAGAATATTAACGCGCCTTTCTGAAATTTGTGGTACAAGAGGTCATTTTCTTCGACAATGATTCTGACTAACCAAAATTTTACTATTGACCAAGCCGATAGACAAAAAGACTTCGAAATACTACCATTATGTAAAAAAAAAAAAAAATTGGTTCAGATTGTTTAGTTATCAGCGAGGATTTATTATCATACTATCTATCATAAGTAACTGTAAACAAAAGATTCGAATCTTATGATCTTATCTCTACGTAGTAATTAATAACCACCTGATAACGCAACAGACCGGTAGACTAGTACGAATTTATTTACTCAGTCCCAAAAATGTAAAATCAACATCTAAATATATTTGATCAGACTGATGTAGCACGAAATTTTGACATTTGAAAGTAGATCTTGAATGAATTTAAATATCAGCCTATTTTCACACTAGATCCTATAAAATTTTTTAATATAAAATTTCTCGAAATTCTAAATTATATTTTTTTTTCGATCAACTAAATTTTGACTGTTATAAAAATAATTTAGCAATTTAAAGTTACGCCAAAAGAGCAAAATATTTTAGATACTCATGTTTACTTCTAAGTTTTCTTCTAACAATGCTAATGCAAAGCCTATCAAGAAGAGAATAGGCTTATTGACAAGTGGTGGTGACTCGTCGGGCATGAATGCCGCAGTAAGATCAATCGTAAGAATTGCCATTTCGCGTGGCTGCGAAACGTACGCGGTCTACGAAGGCTATGAAGGTATCGAATATTTTTATTATAATCATAAATTATTATTATAAAAAAGCGCATTGTACTCACTCTTTTAAATTATTCAGGATTAGTACAAGGTGGTGACATGATAAAAAAATTTGAATGGAGTGACGTTAGAGGATATCTGTCCATAGTATGTTTAATTCATATTTTTCCAAAAATTATTAATTTAGTATTTGATCATCTGTATGTAAATCATTTTTTTATATCATAATTATAGGGTGGAACACTTATTAGAACTGCTCGTTGCCAATCGTTTCGTGAGCATGAAGGTAGACTACTAGCTGCATATAATTTAATTAAAAATGGAATTGATGCCTTGATTGTTTGCGGTGGTGATGGAACGTTAACTGGTGCTGATACTCTAAGATCTGAATGGCCTGAATTGACAAAGGATTTAATTAAAAATGGTAATGTATAAATATATTATTAAACAAAGTATTTAATTTTCATTTCTGCTCATACTATAATATTATTTATAACTATTAATTAGGTAAATTAACTGAAGAGGAGGTCGCTCCACACGCCAATCTCACTATAGTTGGCATTGTTTGTTCAATTGATAATGATATGGCATTAACCGATATTACTATTGGTGCTGTGACTTCATTACATCGTATTTGCGAGGCTGTTGATAGTATTTCTTCTACGGCTTTTAGTCATTCTCGTGCTTTCGTCATTGAAGTAATGGGAAGGCATTGCGGATGGTTGGCATTAATGGCTGCTATTAGGTATATAATCATTATTTTCTTAAAAGTTTATATATCAAGACAATGTTCTTAGTATATTTGATGTTAAGCACTGGCGCAGATTATGTCTTCATTCCCGAGCGTCCACCGGAAACGGAAAAGTGGAAGAAAGAAATGTGTGAATCATTAGAAAAGGTATTATTTTAATTAAACTATAAGAAATATAAAATTTTCGTTATAGAAATTTTAAGAAATTTTCGGTTGCAATTTGTAGCAACGCAAAGCTGGTAAACGCAATACAATAATAATAGTAGCAGAAGGCGCTATTGACGACAATCTAAAACCTATCAAAGCGGATGATATAAGAAAACTCTTGGTTGATGTACATATTGACACGAGAGTCACGACATTAGGGCACATTCAACGTGGTGGTAGGCCATGCGCTTATGATCGGAATCTTGTAAGCTTTCTATTATTTACTGTATTATAATTTCAACACATTTATTGTTTACGTATCTGACTTTCTTTTCAACAGGCTACTCTACAAGGCGTTGAAGCTGTAGAAGCAGTTCTTCGAGCAACGCCAGATACACCATCTCCAATGATTAGTGTAAGAGAGAACAAACTCGTATGCGAACCATTAATGAAAGCTGTTGAATTGGTTAGAATAAATAAATCTTCGTCTTCAATTTACTCTTTAATTTACTTTTCGATTTTATTTACTTACGATTTAATTTACTTTATGATTTAATTTACTTTACGATTTAATTTACTTATGGTTAGACTCATCAAGTTGGTGAAGCTATTGCAGAAAAGAATTTTCGTAGAGCAATGGAATTGCGCGACCCAGAATTCTCTGAAGGTTATGAAGCGTACTTGTCTACGACCTTTATGAATAATAAAACGGCATCGAAAGGAAATCATGTTTGTATTTTGATTATAATTATTAAAATTTCTTGTCTATTAATCATTTTTGGCCATACTTTATAATTTTTAATATTCTTATTTATTTTTAGAGTCTAAAGATAGGTATAATTCATATTGGTGCACCTGCTGGAGGAATGAATGCAGCGACACGTGCTGCTGTTCGAGTTTCTATTAATCGTGGTCATAAACCTATCGCTATATATAATGGTTTCACTGGTCTTTTAAATGAAAATGTCCGTGAACTTAATTGGTTAGATGTTGATGACTGGACATCAAAAGGTGGATCAGAGCTGGGCACAACTAAAGTTGAAGCAAATAATTTAGAGTTGATTGCATGTCAATTACAAAAGCAAGGAATAAATGCTTTACTTCTCATTGGAGGTTTTGAAGCTTATAGTTCATTGATAAAATTAACTGAAGCTAGGGATAAATATCCTGCTTTCTGCATTCCTATGGTGTGTATTCCGGCAACTATTTCGAACAATGTACCAGGCACTGAATTTTCGTTAGGTAGCGACACAAGTTTAAATGCTATAGTTGACAGCTGTGATGTCATCAAGCAATCTGCCTCCGCATCTAGAAGACGTGTGTTCGTTGTAGAAGTACAGGGTGGTAATTGTGGTTATTTGGCTGTGATGGCTGGGCTTGCGGTAAATGAATTTATATATAGTACTTTGATTGTTTTTCTTTTTTCTTATTTTTATTGATAAAGGTCATTTTATCTATAGGTTGGTGCTACAAATATATACGCTCCAGAATATGGTTTGTCCCTTAAAACTCTTCAAGAGGATGTGAATCATTTGGTTCGCAGATTTGGTGCAGATACAAAAAGGACTAGTTCTGGACGTTTAATCCTTAGGTAACTAATTATTATTTTGATTTTTAACTTTTTTAATTATACTAAAATTAAAAATCTATATACAGGAATGAACGGGTATCGAATACATATACGACCGACGTTATCGCAAACATCATGCAGACTGAAGGTAAAGGACTCTTTGATTCACGAACTTCTATTCTGGGGCACATTCAACAAGGTGGTTCACCTTCACCGATGGATCGAATTCGAGCAAAAACGTTTGCTGTAAAATGCGTGTCCTTTTTAGAAAAACATGCGCATTTTTCCAATCCATCTGAGAAAATGAAACTCCCAGAGGTTTATACAAAGGATCCAGAATCTGCTGCTGTTATTGGAATTAAAGGCGCACAAATCGTTTGTACGGTATGATATGTTCATTTTAAAATAAATATTATAGTAAATTATTATTATTTTTTTTTTCAAATCAAATTATTTATATTACTTTTATATTTATTAGCCTGTAACTGAGTTGGCAGAAGAAACCGAGTTTGAGAAGCGTAAGAGTAAGAAGGCGTGGTGGATAAATGTGAAACCTCTGGTGGAATTATTGTCAAAATGGGGTAAGACATTAAATATTATTTCTGCCTTCCGAGATCTAATTTACTAAGCATTTATAGTGAGCTTAAAAATAATTATATATTAATTGGTTTTTAATCTTTCTTATTTACAGGATACTCTGATAGTGAGCCAATAGAGGGAGATATGAATATTGGTTGTGATCTTATCAGTTCGGATTAGCACAATTTATTGTAAAAAGGTCATTCACAATTTTATATAATGTACAATACATTTTTTGTTACTATACGAAATTTGCTGAATGTTATATGCTGCACATTAATTTAATTTAGGCAGTTTAACTTGTTTAATTAATATTTTCTACACGCATTTTCTAAAATTATAACACTTTATCAATAAATTAAACCAAATATCATTATAACGATATAGTGCGTTTATTTAAAAATTCTCAAGACCATCTTTGGGGTTCCTTTCTAACGCCTTGGTTTTCCATTTATTTGTCAGGATCTTTGTGCAGTTATAATGTATCATTTCTTTCTGAGTGTGATATATATGAAGCGGATACTTGAGATGCTTGAGATGCTTTAGTTATGGCGTTCTTTTTTCAGCGTTAAGATAACCTTGGTTTTTAAGAATTTTTTGTAATATATATATTTTTTTCTAAAACAAATTTACTATAATGCAAGCCAAAAATTAATATCACATGATTATGCCATATTTTGGAAAAATTTGTTATAATAGCTTTATATAAAAAATAGTTTATAAAAAAGGAATTATTTATTTGTAACCACAGCTATATGTAGCCGTATTCAATAATTCTGCAATAACTCGAAATTTTACTAGGGTAACCCTGGTGTGTAACTAAGTAAAAATACTTCTCTCGCAATTTTACTTTATCAAATCCTAACTCTAACCTAACTCTAACCTCTAATCCTAACCCTAATGTTAATATGGCTGCAAAATTTTTCTATAAAAAAACTATTTTAATAGTATGGTTACAAATAAATTAATTTTATAAAAAAAAATGCTATAAATTCTTATATATGTAGTAAATACAGTAAATACATATTAAATTTATAATATATATGCTGTAGTATATATATATATATATAATAGGGTGTGGTGATTTAGTGAAGTGGTTTAGTCATCACCCCACCAAGTGGCAGGTTCAAAGTTTGAATCTCATAGATGATGCTTTTGAAAAATAAATCTGCATTATAGTAATAATTATCTGTCGATCATTTGAATCTAGAATCTGTAATCTTGGTTTTATTATCTAGCATAAAAGCTTTGTGCATAAATGCCAAGAAATTGGGATGATCAAAACCTGTTTGGGAAGACCCGAGTAAGGAATAACTACAATCTTTAATAGTGCTACAGGAAAGACCTGAATTTAGAAGTTAGAACCGAGATTGAAAAACCGAATGACAACAAGATCCTTTAGTAGGAGGATTTACTAACCTGATCACCAATTTAGAAAAGTTAAAAATTTGTGAGACTATTATGAAGTACACCAACCCTGGTTAGCCAGCATAAAAAACCAGTAGTAGAGGTTTTATTTATCAAAACCAGGAGTTATGGAAGTTGGATGAGAAACTAGTTGGATAAAAAAATACCAAGTATGTTTGAAGAACTAGTCTACTAAATTGAAGGAAAAAAATATATATTAGAAAATTATATACTAAGATGAGATGAGGGTACCAACACCTAAAGCCAAGCCAAGGTTGGATTACTAGTTGAAAATAAGAGATAGACTAATAAAGAAATAATAGAAAAAGGAAAAGTCCAAATATGGGTACTAGAATTAAGATATGAACTTTATAAAGACAAAAGTAGTTAAATAGGTAACAACCCAACTGCAAGTACTGTAGGAGCCTTGACAACTGTGCAAAACCAGGTTGGCCTAAATAAGATAAAAAAAGCTTTGGTAGGTTTATCTCGTAAATAGGCATAAGTCTGCTTAATAAAAAAATACAAGCCAGTAATTAGTTAGTACAAACTTAGGATAAGTCATAGAAGTTCTAAAGCAGGGTACACAATCTAAAGAAATGGGCCAAATAGTAGTTTTCAGATTAGTATAATATGCTATAAAAATACAGTAGTTAGAATCAGAAGGTTTAAATAGATAATTTCCTAGTTAGGTTATAAGTATGGTATCTAGTGTAAAACTTGCAAGCAAACTACTTAAATAGGTATTCAAAAGATATACATATGGCTAGTTGTATCTTCATTGTAACTACAGTATAATATAGTAAATGATTACTAATAAAGAGTTTCCTATAGCCAAAGAGGTTACTTTAATATCAAAAAAAAAAAAAAAATATATATATATATATATATATCTATATATATTTTTTTTTTTTTTTTTTT